AGCTAGTACCTGATCTTTTAATGCAGCATTGCCTGGTACTTCGAGAGAAGGATCCTGAAGACTCAGAAAACCTATGGAAAAAATATTTTTTAATTTTTTATTAAATTAATAACAAATTTTCAAATATTTTACAAACTATATTTTTGATTGATAATAGCTATTGTAAAAATGTGTTCTTACTCTCCTATAATTTTAATTTGTTGCAAGTTCAAATGTAGAATAAAAACAGAAATAAAATTATGATATAAGAAATAAATCTTTTGACCATTAATTGTCTTTGCTATTTGATATTCATTTAGTAATGCTAAGGAAATGAATACTAAACCAAAACACAAATTAAGTTCATCCAGTCCTGGTGAAGAAGTTAGATAGAAAAATATAATGGGTTGTAATTATCATTACACATCATGTAAGTTTAAAGTAATTTTTCGTTTCTTAAGTCTAATGCCTCAATACCTGTTTATCGATGGATACCAACACTCAGTTGTCAATTTCAAGTGTTCTTGCATCTCCGATGACATTTTATGGCAACATAAATTAGTTCGCCCCATGTTTAGATTATAGCTTATTGCAACAACCGTGCTGTTACAAAGTTAAAGTCTATTTGCTACTGCAAGACTTCCAAAATTTGGTATTATATCACAAGTTATAGTTTCTGACTCTCATTTATAGTTCCTCAAGTGTCTTCGTAGATGCTTTTTTTATATTAATTATAGGTTAATAATTAGTGATCATAATGATAGATTAATGATTATAATCATATTATGAATAATGATCATAATGATTTCATAAACATAATAATAATGATACTGAAAATTTAAAAATATTTACTGAAAAAGATTGGGTTGTTTAACTGTGATGATGAATGATTTACGAGTACTTACTATTAATTATTTAATTGTAGTTTGTTATATATGAGAATAGAATAGAATTTTAAATTCCAATTAGTTTGGAAAAAAAATAATGAGAATGAATAGAATAGAGTGTCTGACATCATATTTCTTATAGGTGTGGAGATGAAATTGGAAACGGAGTAATCGAATAACGTACTTTTCGGTAAGATAGAAAACATACCAACTCTAAGATTATAAAAGCATCAGATAGTCTTGTCATGTTGTTACAAGAGACTTTATTGATTTATTTTAATTATTTATATTATATTTTTATTTACTATATATTATTATATTACACATATTATATATTATTATTATATATTATTTATATAAGTACTTACCTAAAGCACATAAACGATAGTTAAGAGTGACAAGTATTACGTCTTCCCGCATAAAGTAATCGGGACTATAGAGGTCTTGTGTCGCTTCTCCCATATAGAATCCACCACCATATATATAAACCATGACTGGTAGGCGGTTAATATATTTCAACTGAAAATATGTAAAAATAAATAAAAGACCACGTACGTTTATAAATTCATGTTAAAATATGCATATAAATATATATAGGTATATAAAAATTCACATAATAAAAATAATAAATCATGATAACTTTGTCGTTTAAATTGTTTTCATAGAAAACACCTGACATATTTGTACTACAATGTATCAAAACTATTCAAAACTATTGACCTTTGTTACGAATAAAAATTTGTGATAAAAATAAATTTAAATTATTTTAATAATAATGTATAAAAGACTTTGTATATACATAAAACACACTTGTAAATATAAAATAATATATTACAATCAAATAAACTGCATATCTAATCTAGAAACTTATCAAATTGTTACAAATTATTCTTTTGATCATTCGTAAATACCTTTCTCACATAGACGTTTAAATATAAACAATCTTCTGTGCCCTCCAATTGACCGGTCATAATATTTTTTTGAACCGGTTTACTTGCACACTTGGTGCAATCTAATTCTCCAGACCACGGCTCAGCGGGTTGGGGTGCTTTGAAACGCAAATCACCTAGAGGTGGTCTACCATATGGAATTCCTTCAAAGCTGAAATAGTCGTCACCATAGATACTTCTTCTTCTCGCTCCGCGAATTTCGCCTTGTGGTAATTTAAAGTGAATTTCACTAAAGAGTTACCAAATTAATTAAAATATAATATAATTAAATGAAATTAAAATATATCAAGTATTTGAATGAAGAGTATGTACAATATTATATACCTTTCCATATTTGTAAAAAATTTTGCACACAATACGCCCGTACACCTACTCCGTCAGTTATAGACTAAAATTTTCGGTGTCAAAAATTGTTTAGAAACTGCAGTGAAATAAAATTGAGAGCTTACATGCTCTCTACAGTGGTGGCGAATGGATTTGCTTTAATAAATAGCGTAAATGATCTGTAAGTTTTATAATAGAAATCGGTACATACAATGAATATTATAGTATAAAGTAAACATATTATAAGAGAAGTACATTGAATTAATCATAGTAATTATTTTGGTTAAACGAAATCATTGAACTAATATAATTTAATATACATACGCACATATTATTTGTAAGTTATATATGCTCTATTGGTGCACACAGAAAGAAACCTAATATAATTCTACTCAACTAGAATCATAATTCTATAATAGCCATAATAAGCTATAAGAACTATATTCAATCAAAATATTAGGCTCCGTAAAGTCTCATAATGGTTCGGCAATACATACACATTGTAAAGTCATTTTCAAAAGATTTTACAATAAGTCAGCCGATTTAAAGAAAAATACGTAATTTTTAATTATTTGGCGTTTACACTGGCTAAACTTTGTCTAGATTTTCTTATGCGAATGCAAATAGTACGTGTTTTGAATTTGAAGTTGTTTCGAAAACCAAAATTTGTATATCTTAATTAATAAGTGAGTATATGTGCAAAAATCGTGTTAAAGTCTAGACAGTGTGTGCGTATGACTAATATAATTTTAGTTCGTTCTTCTCTTTCTTTGCTTCATTAAACGTGAGTTAGTGTCTAAAGCACCCTATTGAGTAAATAGGGTCTGTGACCATTTGGATGATCCACTGTAATAAGAGCTCCGTTGAAATCTGATAAAAAGTTATCAGATGATTTTATAGAAGTATATTTGAAGCCCAGTTTATCTTCCTGACGGATTTGAGAAAGTGCATTTCTGAATTAGTATGCACTTTCACAGAATCGACAATTTCAGTGTTCTGTCTTTGTTGTACTTTTGCATACTATCGACTCTCAAGTCTTTGTGTATGTCCTTATTTCTGATGAATCATGGAAGTTTTAGCATACATCTCAGCATGCATAATGCAAATGGCGTAAGCAAAAAGCGAAATTATGTTCATAGATGTCAAAGGAAAATCTGCTGTGTATGAATTATACAATAAGAGAGATATTAGGGATCCTTAAGACGTTCGTTTTGATTTTCTTTATAGATTAAAAGTGGTTCCATATTTTTATATTTAATATTTGATAAAAAGTTTGTTAAAAGTTGTATCATTTCAACTGGAATATCATAAGTTTTAAATTTGTGATCATTATGAAACACCTTTTCAAAGGTTTGATATCGCATTAGCGATATGAAATAAGACTATTCTCGATTTCACTGGTAGCATTTTTTATAGTTTGAGAAACTCTTGCTAGCTGCATATCAGTGGAAAGATTTTTTTGTAATCCGAACTGTTCTTTGGGAATGATATTTTCAGTCATAACTATTTTCCCAAGTCTTGCCAGTACTATTCTTTCTGTTATTTCACCTCCTCTTTTTTAGGCAAAGAAAGGTCGTTTTTAGATTTAAAAAAGTTTGATTCTTGTTATTATTAACAAGTTGATTTTTCATACACATGTTACTGATTCTTTCTAGTCCAGGGGAACTGATTTTTTTCTCATTTGTTAAAGGTTAGGTTCCAACTCCTGTTAGTGATAAAATACCAGTCATCATTCTATTAATTTTCTTATTCTTCTCATCACGAATTGGAAATACAACATAACATGCCTTTTATCGGATGCTTAAGATGAAGACATTGCTACCAGCCGCAATATTATTTAAAAAACCGTCGCATTTCTTATTTTGAAAACAAATATCATTTTGATAATTAAATTTGTTAGTTTACTAGCTTCCATTTTTTAAGCTGGATCTCCCGTTTTGAGACCTAACTTCCTTAAAAAACTACATCGCCAATAGTATTATATGTTTTAAAAAATATAATAATACTATATTTTCTATACTATATTTCCGGCGTGCTCCTATGAAATCGTCGATAAAATCCATGAAATGATATTGGATGATCGGAGAATGAAAGTGCGTTAGTTGGCTCATGCTGTAGGTATCTCAACTGAACGAGTACATCATATTTTGCACGAATATTTGGACATGAAAAAACTCCGCGAGATGGCTGCCGCGATTGCTCACACTCGACCATAAGCGCAATCGTGTGACCATTTCAAAAGAGTGTTCAGCGATGTACAGCCGTAATCCGAACGAATATTTACGCTGTTTTGTTACTGTGGACGAAACATGGATTCATCACAATACGCCAGAGACCAAGGAACGATCGAAACAGTGGGTTGCTAGGTGTGCACGTGGACCAAAGAAGGCCAAACAGAGTCTGTCAGCCAACAAGGTCATGGCCACAGTTTTTTGGGATGCAAGCGGTGTCATTCACATCGATTACTTCAAGAAAGGTAAAGCGATCACCGGTGAATATTATTCAAAGCTTTTGAACAGATTCGATGTTGATTTGAAGCAAAAACGGCCGCATTTGACGAAGAAGTGCTGTTCCATCAAGACAATGCACGTGTGCACACTTGTCTAGTCACGATGGCCAAAATCCACGAATTGGGATACGAACTGCTACTTTATCCAGCATATTTTCCAGATTTAGCACCTGCGACTATTTTCTGTTTCCAAACCTAAAGAAATGGCTGGGCGGTAAGATATTTGAGTGGAATGAAGAAGTTATTACCGAAACAAACGCATATTTTGAGAGCTTTGAGAAAACCTATTATTTGTAGGGAATAAGAAAATTAGAAAAACGCTGGACTAAATGTAGCGAGCTAAGAGGTTATTATGTAGAAAAATAAAATGTTTATTTGCCAAAAAAAATTTGTTTTATTCAAAAAATCACTGACTTAGCAAACCGCCCTCGTATACTAACTGCTGTTCCACCATCTCTTTCATGTAATATATCACTTCTGTCTGTTGAATAATTAGGAATTGTTCCGTTTATTAAAGGTTTTAGAAATATTTGTTAGTTTAGCAGATCATCATTTTTATGATCAAGAACTAATTGCCGAATGCTCATATATCTTGTTACAAAATATTTCAAGACTAAATTATGTGTCCTGACTTGGTTTATCTATGAGAATCTATACTGCATTACCAAAACATTTCTAAGGGAGCATAAATAAGGTAAGAACCTTATCTATACAACCGTTCACTTTATTAACTATATTACTGTAGTAATTGAATATTCTTATTCAGTGCAATGATGGGATTGAAAAGGCAGCCTTTATAATTAGTTGGATGTTTTCTTTTACAAATAATGCACATTGGTTTTTGATCAATAGATTTTTTGCACTTAATGAAATGGTGTTTGTCGTCACTTTAACACATCTGGGAAGAGCCTTGCAGATAATGGCTGCATGGTCATAACGTTGGCAATTGTGATATTGAATCATTCCTGTCTTGGATTTTTGAACCCCATTTTGAACTTTTAACTCATTTCGTACCTCCGTGTGGTACACCACACGGCTAACTTTGAAAATTATTTAAAAATATATAAAAGTAATTTATTCAATGCTTTTTATTTTTGTTACTTAGTTTGATATCTTAATAATATAAAAATAGATATTTCGAACAGTTTTCATCTGTTCATGTGTTTACCTGGTCCGAAATAAAAAGTGTCCAAAAAAATGCCTTTTTTAATCAGATGAAAATTAAAATAAACAGAAATAAAAACTAATACATTTATTATAATATGTGTTCACATAAGTCCAAATATAATTTTCATGATTTTTGGCGGCGTCTTAGTAACAGTTACGTGCCACCAGACGCCGGCGAAGAAAGGCGTGTGGTGAACCACAAGCTGGGCTTCATAATACTATAATGATGAAACAATGCAATATAAATATTTGTCGTTAGGTAATGAAATAAAATGAGACTAATCTCTCTAATGAATATCATACTCTTCTAATTAACTTAAAAATGTGTTTCTTACTATTTATAATAGTAATAAATATATTTTAATGTTTAATTGCTGGTTGAGGTAGTCGGAATTTGATTGTTTTATACAATCATTTGTATTTGTTTTTGCTTAAAGTTCCGTCGTCAATTTTTTACTGTAAATAAAATTATAATGTCATTCCTAAGATATCTAAGAAATCAGGAATTATTGCATATTATTGACAATTGGAGCAAACGTGACACATTAGTACCAAGTGACACTCCGATACCTATTGAATAATAATGTTTGCTACCTGATAATATTGGCGGTGAATCGGGCAATGAAATGATTGACGATGATGAAATATCAATAAACATTACATGCGACTTTAAAATTTTGTTCTTCTTTTTTGAATTCCGCGTGTCTAATTGTGAGATGGTATTTAGGTACTATTTCAGTTGTATACGAATCAAAAGCACGAGATTATGGTGGTCTTGTAGAAATGCCTGAGTCGCAACTATTCACATTGGAACTTGTAAAACCAATACGTTTCGGTTATAAGCTATGAACCCTTTCTTTGGATAGTGGGCATATCTTCCAGTTTCTGCCGTACTCCTGTGCAACTGACAAATACGACAAACAATTAGGAATCGGTGCATTTGTTGTAAAGGAATTATTGAGCTATTGTGAGTATCCATTGCAACATACTGTATGATTCCGTTGAACCCATAGTAAATGTGCAGTAGAAGATGTTTATCTTCCGGGAAATTTACCACGTGTAACCGGTATGCACGCTCCCATAAAAACTCAAAATCGTCACCACTGTATTGTTCGTAAACCAAAAGCTACAGTTTTTATATATGAAAAGTGCCATTAAAGTGATCATGTAGAAAATTGCTTTAAAATTTTCTATGAAAATAAAAAATATTACATTGATCGTAGACAATGACGCAAGTAAACTTATTTCTTTTTACATAATATAATACATATGTAATAATTCAAATATATTTTTTAATTAATAAATATGTGAAAAGCATAAAACATAAAATTTTATACTTACACGTATTTTATACAATTTGAAATGATACTTCACTTACTTCAAAGTAATTAAATACCATATTTGCAAACAACACATATATATAAATGTTTGTACTATCAAAGAGAGAAAAATGTGCTATGGGTTCCAGCGTGT